CATCCTCCATAGCCCGTGATGGGGGGGAGCCAGCTACACGGTTCCTCCATCTCACCTTGACAGATGGATCTGATCTTAGCTGCATCACAGGCTGCCTGAAAATGAGTGGCACACGGGTGTTTTGAGATTCAGCTCGGCCCTCTAGGGTGACACTTAATATTTTGACATGAGAGAGTGGCACTGGTGATCTCTGAGGAGCCACGCTCTATGCCCCAGGATAAGAGGCGTGCATTGTCTGAAGGCTAGCAGCAACAGAGAGGGTAGCAAAGCATGCACTGGCTGAGAAATTGCATGTGCATCCCACATATGCTCCTTGACACCCTGACACTCTTAGTTCTTATGCCACTGCCTGAACAGATGCCTGACTTTTCCTTCAGTCCAGGTCAGGAAGGAACGTGCCCACCGCATTCAGCACAGCTATACTGAAAAGCTGTCTAGCACAGGCACAGCCTAGGTAAGGATAAGACTGCTTTTCCTAAGACAGTTTTGCCCATATTTCCGAAGCAGACATCCCAAGACCCCCATGCCAGACCAGCTGCAGCTACGCCGGGGTGCTCAGCAATACAGAAGCATGTCCCTGACATCTCAGAGCAGCGCATCAGCCCAGCTGCACACCTGCCTGAAGTAACCGTGGGGAGGGGGCTGCGTGGGAATCGGAGACTGTATTCGCTCACGGGAGCTATTTTGGAAGAAACGTACAGCGCTGAATGTCATCTTTTCATCACTGTCAAATTATCATTGAATTCAACAGGATGATGCCGGCACACGCACAGATAATCACACTGCCATTGCACATGTGCAAGTTTGTGCACACACACACACCCACCCCCCTCTGCCTAAGTCCTGCCCAGGATGCACGTTCTCATCTGCTCCGATGCTCACCTCCATTCAGCCCAAGGTGTCCTAGAGGTCAAGGAAAGCAGGCTGCAAGCTATGGCTGTCAGCCTGCCAGCCTTCCTAAATCTCAAATGGCTTTAGCTTGACAAATAAAAGGGTAGCTGCGCTGCGAGGAGGTGTAACAAATAGGCCCCTTCTGCTGGAGACAGGTCTCCTCTGCCCTCCTACTCCACTGCAGCTCCCTCCAACGTTGCCCCACACCAACCCCTGCCCTGGCGGCCACGCACACCTCGCAAGGTGGCCAGGGCTATGAAGGTGCTGCGTGTTTCACCACCACACCAGCCAGCTGCTAGCAGGCAGAATGGGCAACGTCTGAAACCCATCTCCGTTCCTTCAGAGAGAGCACTGCTTCAAAGATTTCCCAGCCAGCCACTAATCTTAACAAAAACAAGTGGGAAATTAATGATCTTCAAGACTGCCAACCATTGGTGCAATCTGGTTGAAACTGGAAAAACGCAAAGGGCAGGAGACAGAGAGCACTCGTTTCCTGGGGAAACTAAGTTAGAATAAAATAAAATAAAACCAGATGAGAACTGTGGTGCGTTTGATTAGTGGTGTTTCCACATTCTGTTCCGTGTCTTGCTCAATCAGGCGAGCTGCCCAGCACACACTGCAGTTAAGCTCTGTAACTGCCCAGCTTTTGTGCCTCCGGAGCAGGAAGGGGCAAATCACAAACTCATTTACATCTGCAGGTGACTCTGAAGGGGCAATTCCTTCAGCAGGAAGACAGGGAGGACAAAGTCATTTGCATCTGAAAGGGATGAAATGCCTCCTCAGGGCTGAAGGACTATTACACAGCTCCTAACTGTGGAAGCTGCTGAGGCTCCTCTCTCCTTCAGAAGCCCCAGCCCTGGAGGTGATCTCATCCCAGAGATTTCAGCATCTCTCTCCTCACCATCCCCGGCCTCGCTTGGCCACCTGCACCCAGAGGGTGCTTTTGGGGCAGGGGTCCACTCTGCTACGGTCAGACCACCAGATGCTGAACCATTAGCCTGCATTGATCAGGGCTTGGGAGAGTTTCCTCTACCCCCCCTCGGTTTGACGGACCAAGCTACAGAGCTACATTGGTTCCAAGGGCTCCTCTGCTCCTCTCCCAGAGCCCAGCACAGCAGCAGAAAACCTATTTGTGTAGCAAACAGCATCAGCAAAGCAGCACGCAACTCTGGACAGACTCAGAAACAGCTGTGGAATTTCTCTGGAAGAGCAAAGGGGAGGAAAGTCCAGCCTCCCATCCCACTTCCAGCCCACCCATCCACCGGATAGAGGCGAAACATAAGAACAGGAGAGAATTTAAGGCATGCCAGGATCCCAGGCTCTGGGAATTAGTTTCCCACATTGTCCACAAAAAGAGAGCACTCGCGCCCAAAATCTACTGCCTTGAACTCAGCTTGCACACCATTTACTCAGCTGAATAACCACGCTCAAGCCAGTGGAATTACTTGCCTGAATAACTGCTACTTGATGTACGGAAGGCCTGCAGAACTGGCTGACAAATAAATACAGGTAAGCAGAAGGCAATGTAAGGCCACCCTTTCGATGCCCTAGGCAAGGTCCCAAAGTCAACGGCCATGTGGTCAAAACTACAAATAACCGGGTCTTTGGTAGAGTCCTGCCAGCTGATCAGAGCATCATCAAGATCACATGCATCCCTCTAGACCTGTATCCTCTCCAGGCACCACTGGGGTCACAGGCTGAAAAAATATTTCACTGACTTGGAAAACTAAATTCTCCCCAAAACGATGGCTTGAGCATTTAAGAGTACAAGCTTCATTAGCTTCCAGCAAGTCTTCAGGTCCCAAGCGCAAACTAATCTTCCATAAAACTCCAGCAGAGAAGCACCACTGCTCCTACCCTGTCGGCGTTGGTCCTAAGTAAGGTGAGCTCTTTGGTACCCAATCCAAGTACGATACGGCATTTGTTCTCTGCACCGTGCCAGTAAAAAAGGTGTGTAGTTCCCACCCTCAAAAGCTTACAAGAGGTAGCCCTGAGCTTAAAACCTTTGCATGCAAGCTTGTTTGTGAGTACCCCACTTTAATTTCTCTGGGACAACACACACAACTGAAGTTAAAACTACACTGAAGCCTCTGTGAGACTATAGCTGACAGAGCTCCTGCTCCAGTTCATCAAGGGGTCAAGGTGAGAACCCTGAACTGGAGCCAGGAACAGGTATGACAATAACATACCCAGGGATTTTGGCAAAGCTGGAGGCCAAAGTGAGTCACTTGGGGAAGGGTGACCAGCGCCCAGAAACATCTACCTGCCCATTCCCTGAGCACTCTGCTGAGCCATAGCCTATCTTCCGATGAGCGGCTCGTTCCAAGTTATTGCATTTGCATGTATAATTTAAACACACTATATTAAGGCCGAAATAATATTTACTGTCCTGCTGGCATTTATAATCTGGATATTCCACAGCAATGTCCAGTGCTCTCAAAGAGACTCCATAACACGGTATAAAACTTCCACCAGGTGTGACCCAAACACCTTTCCTCCCCCCAAGACAAGCAGCAGAAAACGAACGCCTTTTTCATTTGTCTTCACATACCTGGCAAGCCGTCCAAACCCTCTGACAGACCGTGCAGGTTTGAACCAGAGGTTTGGGGCTTTTTAACTCTACTGCCAAGAAAGGCGTGTGAGTGGTGGGAATTTTCCACGGAGCCCCCCATCCCGACAGCCAGGGGCACAAGGCTGTCCCAGCTCCCCAGCCCTCGGACAGCGCTGCTTTCATCTTTCGCCTTTCGTGCAATTAACAAGAAACTGAAAACCAGTCACGCACCGTTACATAGCCAAGAATAGCCTTTCCAGCAGAAGGCTTTTTTTTTTTCCCTAAATTGCTATTATTATCATCCCATGAGCTCTGCATTAGTTCAGACTCCGCGGGCACTTCAGAAAGGCCTGTGACCCCGGCCCGAGACCAGAAAGGCTAAGAACAAGACCGTCACATACATCAGAAGTTGGAGGGTTACAAATATTTTCCAACGGCCTCAATCAGACTCAAAACCTAAGAAAATCTGTATCAGAAGAAAACAATCCTGAAACGTACTATTAGGAAAAAAAAAAAAAGAAAAAAAAAAAAAATTGTGACCCCGGCCCGAGACCAGAAAGGCTAAGAACAAGACCGTCACATACATCAGAAGTTGGAGGGTTACAAATATTTTCCAACGGCCTCAATCAGACTCAAAACCTAAGAAAATCTGTATCAGAAGAAAACAATCCTGAAACGTACTATTAGGAAAAAAAAAAAAAGAAAAAAAAATAAAACCAAAACCAAATCATACACCATATCGGTGAGAAGGAGGAAAAGAGTTTCAACAAGGAAACAAGAACAGAAAAATTACTATATTTATAGTTCAATTAATGGGACCTTATCAAAAGCCTGTTTGCTTTCTCTTTTCTTTTTTTTTTTTTTAGATACCTATTACACAAACACACACCCTCGCTGCCTCCCCAGCTAACAGCCTGGCGCACACATCCTAAGCGTATCCACATTTCAGAGGAGGCAGAGAGCTGCTTCCCAAGAAACCCCTCCACCGGCCGGCGTGTCGGAGCGGAGCGCTGGGGTGATGGATGTCGGCAGGGTTCCTAAATCACATTTGAGCAGCTCGACCTCGGGCGGGAGGCAGCATCTAACGCCGTAACAAACTCTGCAGAGAGGAGACCCTACCTTGCGGAGGGGGGGTGTGTTTGTATCACGCCTCTCCTCTTGTCGGATTAAAAAAAAAAAAAGAAATTAAAGCCGTTTTCCAAAAACCCGGCGAGATGCCTAGCACCGAATGACAGCACCCGAGTCACCGCGTATCTTCTCCGCGAACTACCCGCGGGAGGGAAGGGAAATCAGCAAACAAAAAAAATAATAAAAATAAAAACCAACACCAAACCTCCAACAGAAACAAAGGACACCCCCCCACCACCCCCTACAAAAAACCAAACCCTGCTGTAAGTTATCCGGATTTACTTGCTGAGGAAGCCCACGGATAACCCTCCTCCGCTCCAGCCCGCGCCGATGCGATGCAGGCGCGACCCCGCCGGGTTTCAAAGTACCCTCCGCGCCCCGCCGCCCTCCCGCCGCGCAGCACCGCGCACCCTCCGCCGCATCCCCGCACCTCGCCCTCCCCGCGGGGGGGCAACCGTCGCCGCCGGGGGGCTGCCGGAGCCGGGCGGCGGAGCCCAGCTGTGCCCGCAGCCAGCCCTGCGCGGCGGGGCCGGGCGGAGCAGCCGG